CAAAGTGAGACGAAAAGTGAGATCGCAGTGATAGAGATGTGAATAATAGTCCAAGTTTTTAAAAATATGTCTCAATCATTGCATGCTCACCGTCCCTCTCATGTTGATGCAAAGGTACAGCTACCTTTCAAGATGGTGCAGGGCCGACCTGTGAAGGAAACTAACGTGAGCATCACCTTTGAGCATATATATAGAGGGCGCTATATAAAACATACAAGCCATTAATTGCCATAAGAATGGAATATATCTTCTTATGTTCAATATCTCATTCATTAATCCTTCAGATAGGAATATCACACAATGAAACAGAGATGGACAAGGATTTCACCTTGAAATACATCAGTGATAACTTACTAGAGGAAAGGGTAAGCACACCGCTGATCTCACTAACTAACAGATTGAATTGGAATTTAGCTTGTTAGATTTTGAGGAAGGAACTTAAAACAAACTCTATTCACATTTGATACCAAGTTGGGAAATCGAACCAAAGACCCTTGATTCCATACATATTATGGCAAGCTAATTGTAGCCAAAATCAATGCCATTAAATTTATTCAAATCAATCCTAATTTATTCAATTTAGTATCTATGTACTTGCAAATTAAATCTCACAAATGGTGGCTGTCCCATACCCCTCACTCTATTCCGCTGCGATAGAATGTATTTTAGGATTAAATTGGATTACGTGAACATTGAATTGAATTTACTTTTAGATTGATTTGAACAAAGTGAAATGTATTTTGGATTGAATTGAATGTATGTTAGAGATTGAATTTGCATGTATATAAACATTGAATTGTATTTAATTTGGCTACAATCAACTTGCCATATTCCGTGTAGTGGTATATTAGAATTAGCCGCGTCCTCTACAAAATCTTAGATAAAAACCCAGAACATGCTGAAACACCAAGGGCGGATCCAGGGGGAGAGTCGGGGGGGTCGCGACCCCCCTGTCATTCCTGAGGTCAAATGGGCTTCCTGTGGTAAAAATGCGACTGGGATTCCTTTGCCCACAAAATTTACCCCTGAGACCCCCCCTTCAAAAAACCCTGGATCCGCCCTTGAACACGATCGTAAATGACAACTACAATTTGGATGCCACTTTAAAAAACAAACTGTACAGACTAAAACAGGGTTAAGAGTAATAATCATTGGGATAATCTCTGTGCCTTTTGTATTGTTAGGATCGTCTGTTCCCGTTAATGCTTCAATACAAGGCAATGGACCTGAAATGAGCTAACTAGAAATGACCGCTGTTTGACGGTAGCGTTGTTTTAGTTTTACATTTCTTCGAGACACGGATAGGCTGCCCTACTCGTTTTGCATCACTCAGTTGGAATTATTTATTCTCTTTATTTGGCCAGCTGTGCACTAATAAAACAGGTTTGGGATTGTTGATTGCTGGTTATAGGAATCGGCAATAACGTCGAAAAGTCGGACACGAGGACCTACAAATACAGCTTGTAAATGAACAATAAGCAAAAAAGACACTAGCAAATACTGCTTTGTTACTTTTTACTGTTTCATCTCCTAGCAAACAATTGGTATACACAATAATTAAAGGATAATTATTATTGATGAAATTATTATATGATAAATTATCTAGATAGCAGAGATTGAAAATAACAAAGCGTTGCTCCTAGCATAACTCTTGCTGTGACATTCCAAGCGGTCACACGCAGACTGTACTCCGACATCTTACATTAGTTATTCATGAGAATCATATTTAGCGTTCTTTATCTACAAGAAAACGTTTTGAAGAAAGACAATATTCTTGAATATATTTTGGCAATATATACGTATTACTAATAACTTCTCAGTGCTACTATTATCAGTGAAACGAAAGTGCTTGCATTCGATCAAGGAAATTGGCTAAAATAAATAGACTATTGTTGTATATGTATATTAGAACGATTCATTGGGTTCTGACAAGGTTACTATGGTTCTGACTAACTGCAGTATTCCACAGTAGTCAGACTAAAATCACTTTAGTATACTAAAAAATTTCAGTCAACCGGTTGGATAAGCTTCTTTACACTGATTAACAGAGATATTTACGAGGATTAGACGTCTGTCTTGTCTTGCATGCAGTCTGGACACGTCCTAAAGTCCCTTTGATCAATTTCTTTCTTCTCTTTATAGTCTATGATATCCCATACTTTGCTCGTTGAAGAATAGTTTCTCAATCTTGTTTGTAGACGGTTAAATTGTGTTTCCACTCATAAAAGTTGGCCTCGGACTCCGGCGGATTATCCTCGTTGTCGAAAGCTTTTTTTGAAAGATAGAGTGTTTTTACTTCAACATAGCGCAACATTGGCAAGCATTCGCTACATGGTATTTTGTTGACAAATGCAGTCGCGCCGTCAATATTTCCTCTGTTTCTGCGCATCAAGGCATTCTGTTCAGCGTGAATTACGTGTGGGTACTTATCACGCCCTCCGACTGCAGACTTTCCTTGACGGGGATGGTTACCGTACAGTGCCTTGGCAGGGAAGCCATTCCAGCCGATTGCGACAATCTCTTCGTCAATGATGATGACACAGCCAACGCCTCTGTTTGGGTCGTCTGTTCGGTTGGACAGCATTTGAGCAAGGCGTGACAAGTGGTTGACAACCTTTTGAGTCACAGCCGGTTCTGGGGTGGTCTTGCTTCCTCGTACTTTAAAATTCATCTCTTTCTCTCCTGTTTCCAGGATTCCCTTATCAAACCATTCGAAAAAAAATTTCATATCATCGTCTACCTGTTTTTTGATTTCTGTATCGGAGTATTCATCTCAACCAATCTTAGCTACGATTTCTTCCTTCCATTGCTCGTCCCATTCCACCTTTGATGCGACGCTTTCGTCTTCGGCTAAATTCCTTGTGCCATATAGATTTTTTTCTTTCGCCGATTTGAGTTCTCTTAAATCACCCTCGGTGATGTTTGGAAYATAGACTTCTCTGCTTACTGGGCTTACTTTAAATAATGCATCAACACTCTGGTTTTCTTTTTCCTCATCTTTCTCAGGCTTCAAAGGCAGGTAGAACACTTTCTTGACGGCTGCTTGAACAAGCATCTTTACGCAGTGAGCGCACGGCTGTCTTGACAAATAAACGTAGCAACCTTCRACTTGATCTGGGTACTTGAGTAGCGCTCTGATCACACCATGTACGATACCACCATCATTACTTCTGCTACAATCAACAGAAAGAACTCGATCGTTTGGTTGAACGAACACTGCGCCCACAACTCTTTCTTTATCCGTTATCGTCATGGCCCATGGAGATTGTTCCATCCACAAGGCCATCAACATGTACAAATCTTCTTTCTTGATCTGGGGTTTGCGTCTTCCATGAGGTTGTTCGTTTGCCATTTTCAGTCTACAGCTTCGCTGAATCAACTCCAGACGGTCTTTGTCCTTATATGTACTTGTTATTCGATCGAATAATGCACTAGTCAGTTGTTTCCACCACCACCCCCCGCGGTATGTGGGGATTTTGTCGGGCAATATAGGGAGAATTACCGTAGCTTTGAGCAAATTCCGTTCTCTACCCCCCGGGGGATTTTTTGGAAATACCAATCGCCTTCCCCGTACCTCACGTGGAAAT